GAAGCCACACAGCCGTCCTCTGGTTCGGATCCCAAGTCAACCGGAAACAGGCCTGGTACTGACCCTGAGCAGAGAGAGCAGTGAGGAGGGGATCGTGTGGTGATGAGACCCTACTGAGGGCGTCTCTGTCTCTCTCTTTTCCACTTGTTCTCGTTCTTATGGAAGTAATAAATAAGGTTTCAAAATGTTTTTAAAAGTAAACTACAGTCTTCAAGGCCCGGCCCGAAGGAGTCCGTGCTCACCTCTTAAGCCTCGTCTTGCATTTGTCTTTCTCTCCTCTTTGAGCTTCGGTAACCCCAGCCCTCTTGAGACTATTTTTTTTTTTAAAGATTTATTTTAATTTGACCAGAGAACGTAAGAGAGAGAGAGTGAGAAAGCAAGCCTCCAGGTCTGGGACTTGAACCGCGGTCAGCCATGTGGGAGTCCAGCACCCTCAACCACACATCACCTGCCAACCCTGACCTCTTGAAACTCTTCAAACTTGGGGCTTTTCTGAGTGCTAATCCCTCTACCCTGAACACACTTCCTTTGGAACTTTGGATGGCTGGATCCTTATCGTACTTAAGGTCTCAACGTAAATATTGCCTCCTCGGAAGACTTTCCATAGACATGGGACCAGCAGAGGGCGTGATGGTTACTTCAATGGACTCCCTCGTAGTTGACCATGGTTTAAGTCTCAGACCTTAACATGCACGCCGGGCACGTGTGCATGTGTGCCCAAAATCCAAAGAAGAGAATGGAGGAGAAGGGATTGTGGTGTGGCCATCCACCCAGCGGGGCATTTCTCAATTTCTGTCTCTATGTCTCTCTCTGTCTCCCTGGCAAGTGGATGCGCCCTATAGCAACAATTTCTCTTAAAAAAGAAGACTTTACACATCATCCTGTTTAAGTAGCCTGCGCTCTCATCTTCCCATGGCAACTACTGTTATAATACCCTGTGTCCACTTTATAGCCCTTTCCAATTTGTAGTTATGCCTGTTTACTTATTATTTTTAAAAATTTACTATAGGGTGCACGTGATCTCTGGAGACAGAGAGAGAGAGAGAGAGAGATCTCCAAATCGCCCCCCAGGGGGAATGACACGCTGCAATCCCGTCTCCATTCTTAGCATTCTGGACACACATGCACCCAGTGTGTTTTTCAAGTGACTGGATCCAAGATTCAAACCATGTAGTCGGTCGTGTGGGATCCAGGTGCCCCAACCAACATGCCCCTGGCTGGCCTGCTGGCTTCTGGTTTATATCCCTGAGTAGAACGTGAGCTGAAAGAGATCAGAGCCATGTTAATTTTATGGCCGATCCTCTGGAAACTACTCAGGGGGAGTACAGGTGGGAGGTGAGGCAGCCCAAAATTGTTTCAGCAATAGGAGTAAAGGAGAGGACACAGATGTGAAAAAATATGTAAGAGCATTTGTTCCTAATGAGACATGGAGTGGATGAGTAGGAAAGAAAGTAATGGGCCTGCAGGTAGCATGGTGGCTAAGGCACTAGATCTCACATTACCAAGTACACAGTTCAAGTCCCAGACCCAGCCACTTGAAAATCACGCTGGGCACATGTGTGTGCATGCCCATAATCTGAAATAGAGAAGGGGGGGATTACGACTTGGCCATCCCTCTGCTGAGTTCACTCGCCTTTCTGTCTCTTTCTCTCTCGGGCAAACTCATGTGCTCTGTAGCAAGAAACTTAAAAACATAAAAGAGAGAGAGAGAGAGAAAGAAGAACAAAGTGTGCTTGGGCTAATACAGATGTCAGGGAGAGCAGACCATCTGTGATGGGAAAACGGCAAGGTGAATTTGGGTTATGTTTTGTTTCTGAGTCGGCGAATCAGCTTGGAGGTGTCTAAGCATCAGCTAGAGATATCAAATTACGTTGGACAGAGATGAGCAAGAAAAACAAGCTCGGGAGTCGCTGACATAGAAGAGATGGCTGAGGGGCTGGCAGGTGGAGCGGTGGTTAAGGGTTTTAGACTCCCATGTGGCTGATCACGGTTCAAGTCTCGGACCTGGCAGCTTGCTTGCTAACTTTCTCTCTTTCTCTCTCTCTCCCCCTCTCTCTCTTTCCTTCTCTCTCTTCCTCTCTCTCTTTCTTGCCCTGTCCCTCTCTGGTCAAAATTTTAAAATAAAATAATTATTTTGGGGAAAAAACAAAGAAGTGATGGCTGAAATGCTGGGTATGTGGGATGGCGAGGAGGACCATACGGCGGGAGAGTGGATGGAAGAGAGGAGAAAAAAGAATGAGAAAAACAAGAACACGGTGAGGAAGGAGGGAGAAGTCTCCCATCATTTATTCATTACACGTTCAACAAATAGTGAGTACTAGGGACGTGCACACCCGCCGTTCTCAGACACAGGCCCGGTGCTGCGTCAGGAAAGCGGTCAGTCCCACCCCCTGCTAAGCCCTCAAGTGCTGGCACAGTGCCCAGCATGCAGAACGCACACAGGGTCCAGGCCTGGCCCGGTACAGTGGTGAAAGGCTCCCACATGCCAACTGCAGTTCAAATCTCAGTCCCTGCAGCTTGAAAAACATGCTATGCATTTGTGCGTACATGTCCCAAATCCCAACAGGATGGAGAAAAGGAGAAGAGATTGTGACAGGACCATGCCCCAAAGAAGGGGTGCTTTCCCCCTCTCCTTCCCTCTATATCTGTTTGAGGAGCATACACCCCATCTGGACATTCAAAGTAAGTAAACAGCCCCGCAATTTGATAGAAACTGGACGAATATGGAAAATTTGTTGCTGAGTGTGAAGCAAGTCAGGCTATGAAAGAGAAACATTGTATGTCTCCACTTAACATATACCCACTGTTTGCACTCTATGGTAGAGACTGAAAGACTGGAACACATGAAAATAATAAAAATTGTAATGGACACTAGAGACAAAGTGCAAAGAGAGTGTGGCGTAGGACATTCGGGGGGGAAATGGAGAGGTAAGACACTTGTGGGACACAGGTGAGGTTTATTATCTATTGAAGAGGTTGTATGTGGCGGTCTCAACTGGGCTGGACTGAGGTGTATATCATGCTGGGTGAAGTCTCTTCACAATCTAAATGATGTATAGCGATTTAATGTGTGAAGTATAATTTAAAAATATATAAATTTTAAAAGTTCATATTTTTAAAAAAAATTAAAAAGGGATCAGCAGATGGCATAGCAGTTACATCATTGGACTCCCACATAGTCGACCATGGTTCAAGTCCCACACCTGGCGACCTGAAATTCACACCAGGCGCATGTATGTGCGTGCCCAAGATCCCAAGAGGAGAATGGAGGAGAAGGGATTTCGGCATGGCCATCCCCCTGGGGGGTGATTTCTTGCTTTCTGTCTTTCTGTCTCTCTGGCAAGCGCCTATGATAGCAAAAAATCTCTCTCAAAAGAAAGAAAAAAGTTGTAACTGGTCTAAACAAGGCGTTTGGAGAACCAGCGACAGCAAAGGTGTTGAACAGAAAGTGCAGTGTACCCATGGACAGGCCGTAGAGGAAGAGCCACGTGGGGTGCGGTGGAGAGCTTGGTCAGTAAGGTGGAACTGGGGCTTTCTTCAGCAGACCAGCAGCACTGGGAGGGTTTAGGAAGCCACGGCTGTGCCGCATGTGTTGGGAGGGAGACAGGAGCCAGCAAGACCCCATCGGAGATCTAGTGCTGAAGACTTTAACAAGGAGGCCAGGAAGGCCGGGAGACAGGGAGCAGGACTTCGGTGACTTCGCAAAAGGCAAATGGGGCCAGGTGGTAACACAGCCGGATCCCGGGGGAAGGCCCTGGGTTTTGTCCTGGGTCCTTCCCTGAGCATGCTGGAGATGCGTGCACACTCGTCCGTGGGCCAGACTGGCTGAGCCTGGGGGTGTTTGCCATGTGGAGACCCTGTCGGTGGTGCCCATCTCTCATTCTTTCTCACCCTCTCTCAGAAGCAATAAATAAATAAATAAAAACTTTTAAAAAGGCAAATAGAAGAAAATACCGAAAGTCTCTCCCAGCAGTCTCGCCTAGGTAACTGGTCTGTTGGTGGCAGCACGGTTAGCAGAGACAGAGAAGCATGTCTGCTCTTTCCACCTGAGCTCCCCGTTCAAAGTACGGTTCAGTGCTCATCCCACTTCCATTCTATTTAAGCCCCAGTCCCGGGGCAGCGCTCTCCTCATGGCTCCCTCCTGTAGCCCAGTGTCACCCAGCATGGAGGGCCAAGGGCGCCCGGAGCTGAGTGCTCATAGCACATGACTTAGGGAAACGGCCAATGTCTTCTGGGATGTGAGAGTGGAAGCCCCAGAAACCCCAGGCATAGGGCTCCCCTAATGGCCTCCCTGGAGCCTTTCAATTGCCCAGCACCACCAGTCCCTGGCCCCGGCTCACAGCTGAGAGCACAGAGAGTCGCCCTCGGACTCGGCCGAAGACCCTGGCTTGCTCGCCCATGAGATGTAGGCTGGCCGAGGAGAGGAGGCATGCGTGCCTTCGCCAGTCCCCAGATGAGCAGTTCCAGAGCTGCCCGGGTTTGTGCCTTTGTTCCCTGAATCTTTTTCCTGGATAAGCCAGAGCCTCCCGGACCCAAGGGTATCTCATCACACCCACAGAACACAGGCTGCTGCTGCAGGAAGAGAGTGAACAGCCATGCCACCCCCTCACCCCAAATTCATGCTACAGCTCTCTCCTCATCCCTTGTCTGAGCAGCACCAGTCCTCCTAAGGTTCGGTCCCATGAGACACACAAAATTCAGAGAAGGAAACACCAGCCACTCACTGATCATTCAAACCGAGGTGATGAGACCCCTCAGGGCAGGTTGTGGTGTGGGCTTGGGGCAGTGGCACCGAGTACTCAGTGAGATTGGGCAAAACACTGAAACCCCCCAATCTGCAGTCCTATGGTTGCCCCCGGCCAGCAGCATGCCCGAGCTCCTTCATCGCCTGCCTTCGCCCTCCTCACGGTCCTGCTGGGCTTCCCAGGCCTCCGCCATCCTTGCCCAGCTTAGTCTCCCCACGGTGCCCCTGCTCCTCTCCCTCCCGGCCCCCGACTCACCCAGGAATAGCACAGCTGTCCACAGCAGCACAGGGCCCCCAGCCTGGCAGGGCTTGCAGGCAGCCCGGCTGCCCTCAGCAGCAAGGAGGCTGAGGAACGAGGGGATCCCCATCACCCCAGAGTGAGCAGCTCCAGCGGCTCAGGCGTCTCTCCAGGGCTGGCAGATTCCACCGCAGAGCACAGACAAGTTCTGGAGTCCAAAAGAGGAAGTGAAAAGCAACTGTCCGCTCTATCAGAGGCCCCGCCCCTCCCACCCCCTTCCTTTCATCTCTACCCTCCCAAAAGATGCAGGGCTTCCCAGAACCAGCCTGGCTCAGTCCAAGTCCCAACTCACAGCAACGTTAGAAACCGGGAACTTCTCCTTCTTCCTCTGGGGTCACAGCTGGCCAGAGCCGCTGGGTGAAAGAGAGAAATGGGCACCCACAGCCTTCTTTGTCCTGCTTGGGAAAGGCGATGGGGGACAGTGCCCGTGCCAGCTTCCAGTGCCTCTCCTCCCTCCCCAGGCCCGGCCACTGGGGTCTGGACTCCTCCTGAAGCTGAGCGCAGAGGCGGGAGGCCATCTGATTCCCTCTCTTAGCATGATCCCTGCCTCATCTTTGGATGGTGGATGGACCGGAAGCAGGGGTGCCGGGTGGGAAGAGGAGGGCCCCATTCCCGCTCCTTCTCCTCCCTGTTCCTTCATCATGTC